GTTGTATTATTCATATCGTCATATTCTCTTTCATCACATTGTTCGTCTTATTTATTCACTTGACATACGCTGTTTTCCAGCACGCGAATCAGATTTGTCGTGTAGATGTCACGTCGAGGCTTCAATCAGAGGAAATTCTACCTTGCGTTACACTGAAGACTCACGCACAYCCAATCAGGTAATACTTACTCTCCACAGGAAGCCCGGCATTTCCAAGAAAGGCTTTTTGAGTGTGGKCTTGAGGAGATTAGTTTGTGRGGATTACCTGACTTTCCATYACAATATGGATTATTTAYCAGTGCATTTTACTAATGGTTTTTTTCCTAAAGGCCTAGTGAATATAAAATCGTCCCTCTTGGTGAGCGCGATGTTTTGCCAAAGAAAGGACAAATCTATGCGCTGAATCTGACTTACAACTTCTCAACGGTGAGTCTAAGACATAAGTCCGTAGGGCTTTGTTCGGGGTTTCTGTGCCACATTATGCCCGCAAGAAGGTTGGAACTAAGTCAACAATTTCTTTTTACTTATCTCTATTTCTCGCTCATCCATTTATCTAGTCAAAGTTCTGTGACCGCCTGCACTGGAGGCTAATCAGTAATGCTGGTTATATTATCCTTATAGAGTATGCTACTGTTAATAATTTTATACTCATTAATTTGTCTAAATTACAGTCCAAAGCATCGGAAATCTTCATCAATGCCGTTTATCTCAGTGAACTTCTTTACGAATCTGAATACGAAGCACAGTTGTGGATTTTGTACGACGGAAACAAAAGAAGAATAAACTGTGGAGATGCTTTTCCTAACAGGGTGAGAATGATTTTATGTTAATTAACGGATATTAGTTTATTTCAATATTACAAAATGAAAACTCCAAACCAGTATTTGGCGTGGACAATACGTGCCTCAGGACCTGAGTCTTAACACACGTTGAACTGCTGGAACATGATTGTCGAAACGATTAATGACGAAACAATCATTTCGGATGAGTTTTTGTTAAAATGATCGTTCAAGGACTGCTCTCGTTTAGATGGGTCATGTCAACGTTCCAAAAAGAATCAGTGCTATGCTTTTCCAAATGCCATGAGTGTATGTTTGCCTAGTCAGTGGTTTAGTAATATTTTGTTATTTTGTCTACAGTACTGTACAAAAGTGGAAAAAGGAGACTATGTCATAAAATACCAGGTATCCTATTTCATTTTATTTCCCTTCCATTCTATTTTTCCGTCCGTGTGTCCTAAAAATTACAAACAGTAAAAGAAAAGGGTTGAGTGCAGGGTCCTTATAGTTGTATCTCCTATCTGTAAAGCGACGCCTTTTTCCCGTCAGCATCATTCATTCGTGATTGTAAATATTGTCCTCGTACTTTTTATGTCCATTCGTGTTATTTTTTTGGTTATTTCTTATAGTTTTCACATCGCACGAAGGAATTACAAAAACTAATTTTAAAGATAATTTTAGGCTATAAATAGTGTATTTCCCACCATGCTTTGTTCGAGAAAATGGTGTTGCTGAACCTTGTTAAAAGCATAATGATAATGAATCATGATAATTGTTTATTGCCATTTGAAATAGGTTCGTCATGACAACAAAGAGCAGCTGGAAAAATTAAAAGACATGTTGGTATTAGTGGAGACTAAACTTACCCCCACACTATCCCTGGACGTGCACCCATCGCACCTCTCTAGCATGACGGGTGGAAAGTTCAATTCAGTCACCATTCACAAAGGGAGAAGATTGCCTGTATTCATCTCGCCTTTTCCTGACGACAAGTGAGTCTAATATTGATCATAGCTTTGCTCTACTTAGGTTCCTGTAAGAACCCAGAGGAAATGATTTCATATAATTAATGAAAAACCCGCGGTATTTTTTCGCTTACTTTCGTCAGCAAATGAATTGGTTTAAGTCGTGATGTTTTTTTTTTATTGATCTGATAAAGGTTTTTTTATTGATCTGATAATAATGCTGTGTCGTTTTATAAAAGTGTCCGGTTTTCACAAGACGTTTTCTAATATGAAGGTACTTGAGTTGAACGAGGTCGAAGATGTCCTGTCGTTATGTACTGAAGATTTCCCTTTCATCTTGTAATGTACGGTATTGTTTGAATGATTTACGATATCCTGTGGGAATATACATGTATCTTTGTTTCCCTTCAAATCTACAAAGATTACCTTCAAAGATTCTTGAATATGGATGACAAAAAGAAATCTTCATTGTGGTGTAAAATGGGAAAAAAACTTAAGAGTTGTGCATTTTTCTGATACCCCTTCCCTCATTCTGACACCATCTGAGTACACGCTCGATTATTTATTACGAGATTAAAGCGTAATTTGCTGACATGACGAACCGCGAAATTTAGTACCAAATCAAAAACAAAACAAAACAAAACAAAACAAAAACAAACAAAAAAACATGGACCGGTAATCATGTTCCATCTCCATTTTATCGTATGACCATTCTTCAAACTCAATGTTCAGATGTTTTTGCATGTCAGTATTTTCTTGTAGGTTTTTCTAAACCTTCTGTTCGTAGCGCCATAAATCAAGGGATTTACTGCTGATGATAATGCTACACTGAATGTTATTACAATTCCATGATCTCGGTACGAATGGTTTGTTTCCATAGCAAACGCAAGGATAATAGGGGGCATCCAGCAACATATGAACGCTAGGAAKACGGCTAGTAAAGTCTTAGTGACTTTTTCTTCTCTGGCTTGTGTTTTGCCCTTTGAAACCCTTTTGAGGGCGTTGGAGACCCCTGTGAAAGCACCCGGATGTTGTTGATTGATGTCTTGGTTGTCACCTTGCTGTTTTTCCARTGAGGAGATTRGTGTTCGAATTCTCCGAGTATGTRTTCTTACAGTCATCAGTATTAAAGCATAACAACTAAAGCTGACAAGAACTGGAATTATTACGCTCACTGCAAGCACCAATAACATTGCAACTCTCAATAGCTCATATTGAGGTAAAAAGAATATCATACATAAGTTGAATTCGGGTACAAAGCGCACCTGTGCAAAACCAGGAATCAGTACTGAAGCCTCCATAACAAATATGAGCAAGTTTGCAGCCCCAACGAAAGTAAAKATCGATTTAGTGGTAATATAACTATAATAAATATTCGGTTTTACCACACATAGATACCTTATAAACGCTGTCAYCGCCATAACGCAAACCGAAATAACAGTCAAGGCGTAAAGAAGAGTACCTTGTAGATAACAGAACATTTTATTGTCGTCTAACCAACTTGTGTCGTTATTCTCGGTAAATGCTATCGATGCGTTGGTTAAGGGCATCACAGTCAGAGCTGTGAGAAGGTCGGTGACTGCCAGRGTTAGAATYACTGTTCCAATCTTAGACCGAAGACGAGGATTTCTGTAAACACTGAGACATACTAGTGTATTTCCAAACAACGCGACTACGTTGATGAATACCATCAGCAATACTTTATAAAGAACCTGAAAATGCATTAGTTCGTCAAGGTCAATTGCTCTTGGGTTTGAATTGGTTTCTTCCAAAAGTCGCTGAGAACAGCGCTTGCCTATTCAACGTGACGTTCTGAACACAAACTGTGATGGTGGTCAGTGAATAATCTACTCTCGCAGACGTTACGTTGCTCGTTCCCAGGTCTCTGCCTCTCCTCGTAACTGGAGGAGAATACTACAGCTGCTGAGATACTCATTCTCGTACCCAGACCGTTTTTCATCTTCCGATAGAAATTCAAGGCCGCTAGGGTCTGGGTACTAGAATGAGAGATACTTTGTTTAGTTGACATTGCGCGTTGATGTTCTTCGGCAATATATCATGTGACGCACCCATAAGACGCAGGGAGAGTAGAGTCTTATTATGARTGAGCGCCTTTTGTCAGTACTTTTTACAAGCGAGTATTTTCTTGTACGTCCGTTTGAATCTTCTGTCAGTTAAGCCGTAGATGAYTGGATTTATCGCTGATGACAAAAAAGCACAAAAACTAACCATAATTCCCAATGCTGAGAAGACAGAAAAGTGTTTTTCTGGGTCTATATTTTGTATAACAGCAATAATTGTTCCAGCCGGAATCCAGCAACAAACAAATCCAAGCAAAATTGCAAGCAAAGTCTTTGTGACTTTGGCCTCGTGTGTTTGTCTCCATGATGTGCATGTTGGCAGTTGGATGTGATCATGATTTTTGCTAGGGAGAGGGCTGCCGTGCTCAGGCAGGATTTCTTGTTGGGCGTGTTCTTGTTTTTCTTTATCATTTTCTTGATTTTTTCTTTGTTTTTTCGGTATTGTTACCTCTKCGTGAAAACTTAGCTGATTGCACGAATTAAGAGGCAGGAAACATAGTTTATTGTTACCTTTTTCTCTTAGATTTTCTCGCTCGTTTGACAGTTTTATTGTTCGAGGCAAGTTTGTGTTTTCACAATTTGGCCTCTCGGAAACCAGATATTGTGCTTTCTTGGGATATTGGTTTCCTTGCTTTTTTTATTTGAGTAAACAGATTTTAGGTCGATTGGATCAATTCTTGGTCGTCTTGGTTTAGGAGGAGAAGAATTTTCTATATTCTCTCTGCYTTTCTCTTCGTCCTCTTCCTTGTTCATGTTCTTCCTTGTTTTAACAGCTTTCGTTTCTTGTGGTTTTATAGTACGGTTCTGTTTCTTTAGAAAGAGAAGGCCGAGTATTCTTGGGCGTTTTTTTATCTTGCTTTTCTGGCGTTGTGTTGAGGTTTGTTGARTATTTTTATGATTGTTGTGTTTATTGACGGTATTATAGATCGTTGCGTAACATGCAAATACGGAGATCAAGGGGACCCCAAAAAACATTATAGCAACGGTCCTCTCCATAACCATTTGAAGGACTTTGTGATTAGGGAACTGCATCATGCATATGCCAAAAGACCTGATAAAAATGATTTTGCCATAGCCTGGAATAAGTAGCGAAGCCTGAACGACTACGATGGACAAAACCAAGCTCACRAGTATTATAGCTATGGTTTTCTTAGTGATGTAACGGCGATAGATATGCGGTTTAAGTATACACATATACCTTATCAAGGCTGCCAGAGCCATGAAAAACAAAGAACATCCACTCAAAAGGTACATTAAGAAACCATGAATGTAGCAAAGAGGATCGCTGTTGTCTTTTGAAATCCATCGAGGCAAGAGGAGTTTATGATTTTCATCTGCCAGAGCAATCGATGCAGTTGACATAGGCATTAGAATCAGAGCTGAGAGAAGATCTGTTATGSCCAGGGCTAGAATAACTACACCAATCTTGGTCCGAAGACGAGGATTTCTGTAAAAACTTATACATACAAGGGTATTACCCAACAACGCGACTYCATTGATGGCTGCCATCAGCACAACTTTGTAAAGAATCTCAAAACGCATGGTTTATAATCAAAGGCGCTCAGCGAGACCACGCTTCTTATATGAAACGAAAGACCTTGTACCTTCGACGCTGTTGTTCTGGGTGAGCTTTGATGATGAACTGAAATCAATCTATATGAGAAGCAGCGGTTACTTAAAGGGTTTTTACATCCGTTGTAAAGGTTGGCTTATTGTATMTTTTAAAGTGCTACTTCTAATTGCCAAGCCGCCGTTTTGAGGAAAAAGAATAAAAACCCGTTTGAATCCAGTTTTAAGGGTTTTTTTTATAGGATGAAAGTCCTGTTCACTGTTGCACGAAACATTTCCTTTCGGATTGGCGAGGATAGACGGGCGCATACTATTATCGATTAGTGGCCCTGTTGTTTAAACAATCGCTCTTGAGATTCTACAGTGAACCAAAGTCACAGTTAATCCAACATTATTTTGTCATCCTCGGAAAWCAGCTGCTGTTGAGTAGGGGCCGAGGGAGAATAAGGAAAGTGGATTTKTTTCCTATTGGGGCTTCACTCAACCGCTCCTCTGCTTCCGAGGGTTAGTGTACTAGGATTTGAGATAACAGGCATTTGATCTATTAGCCTGGACGTCAGGACTTTTTTGTAGGTTTGCCTTAACCTTCTATCGGCATTATCATATATAGATAAAGAGTTTCAAAGCGAGACTAAGACAGTCCTTTGACATAGCCGACTAGAGGTCATTTAACCATGCATGATAAGAGGACACTTGCAAGAATAAAAAAAAATCACTATTGTTGTTAGAACACTTGATCGAAGGCCATAGATAACTACTCAGYAAATTAGATCAAAATATGGCAAAGCACTAATTGTAAAGCATTTTTTCTTTATTTTCGACAAAGCCGAAAAGGGGTTGTGTAAGACACTAAGTTGTCTTATTACGTAATCACATCCGCCGAATTCAATAGAAAATTACATCAACCACACGAAATATAACTTAATTATCAAATATACACATCTAATTCAAAAACGTTGTCGGGTCGCAAAAAGGTGAAATCACCAAAGCTAAGACCGAAAGGGATCTTGGGACACCTTAGATCAAATTACTCCTAGAGGAGTTCACTTTATTCAGTGCAGASTCAGCCATAGTTGATAGAGTGAAATCTCCCTCTAGCTATGGTGCAGGCGATCTTTTGTCACACTTAAACACCGTTATTCTCATAATATTTGCTTTCCCATACTCCCTTTCGGTCCTAGCTTCGCTGATGTAACCTTTTTGAACTCGATTAGGTTTTTTATGTTATGTATATAATTTATAAATATACAGCCTTTTGCAAAAATTATGAGAATTGTTGAAATATACAAATATCATAATATCAAGTGCATGATCCCGCGCGATACCCTTAGTCCCTTGTCTTTGTTGTTTAGTTTTTTTTGGAGAAGGACTTATCCGTAGTTCTGAACATTTTCTCGATGTCAACAATGAATTATTCTAGCAAACCCGCATGTTCTGGACAATATATGGATATGGATATTATGATATTTAGATATTTAGACAATTCTCATAATTTTTGCAAAAGGCTGTAATCATACATATAATCAAATATAATATAATCCCTCTTGCAAAAATATATGAAACAKAAGATGGTGGTCACATTGCCGTATCATTTTTGAGTGCGGAATTGGTTCAACTGTTTAGTTTCTTAACTGAATCTTGCAACAATTAAGTCTATTTAACGTTTCAAATGAAGGATTTTATTGATTTCTGTTCATTTATTGTTTTCAGTTTTAAATCCTTTTACGTGTCAGCACTTTCCTGTAGGTTTGTCTAAACCTTCTGTCGGCTGCACCGTAGATAAAAGGATTTACTGCTGAAGATAACGCAGTGCTGTATACCACTCCATTAAGCATCGTTATAAACGTTATCGACCAACAGCACACAAACCCAATTAATACTGCAAGAATGGTTTTGGTGACCTTTGCGTCGCTTGCTCTTTTTCTTGCTATGGAGACTGATTGCACTTGGCTTTCTCGTTTACTATGAAGGTCGTTAACACTGCTTGCTTTCTTTCCTCGCGATGTCTTTCTTTCTTTTGCGCGTTTGTCTTTTAGAATATTCCTGGAGTTTTTAACCGAGTTGAACTGGTTTTCTGTGCCGTGACATGAGATTTGACTGCAATCTATCGGGTCCTTTGCTGTGCAACATTGTTGAGAGTTTGATTCGGCTTCGTGAATTCTTTGATTGTGTTTTTGCACGTTGCAAAATATCATTGTATAGCACACAAAGCTCACGACAAGTGGAATGCCGACCCAGATTGCACACGCAAGCCAAAACATTATCATTTGAACTCGCTTGTATTTCTTTAAGAAAGAGATGAAGCAAAGTGCACGGCTTCTTGCGAATTTCACCTCAGCGTATTTCGGTAATAATACCGAGGATTGAATTGTGACGATAACAGCAGTCATAACTCCGATAAAGAATAAAATAGACTTTGTGTTAACATAACGGCGGTAATAATCGTTTTTGACTACGCAAAGGTACCTAATAAACGCCGCTAGTGCCATCAACGACATGGACAATGCTGTCAAGGCATAAAACAAAATACCTTGTAAATAGCAAAGGGGACCTCGTCTATTGCCCGTAATCCAGTTTGATAAAATCTTTGAATTGCCCAGGGCTAGCGATACACAGGAAAGAGGTATAACAGTTAGGGATGAGATCAAGTCGGTGACTGCCAGGGCTAAAATGACGGTTCCAATCTTAGACCGAAGACGAGGATTTCTGTAGACACTGAGACATACTAGTGTATTTCCAAACAAAGCGACTACATTGATGGCTGCGTATGGAATTGCTTTGTATAGAGCAGGCAAATACATCTTCTAAKTTCAAACTTCTTCAAACGCACATCAATTCGTGGCTCGTATTTTCACTGTTATTACTTGAGTCTATTTGTCGGAAGAACTTTATAGTGACTTCGCAGATGGCAAACTATTGGCCTTTCTTACATGACACTGTCCTCTCAATTCTTGATTATTTGAAGACGCACTTCACAGAATCTCAGTATATTGGGCAATTCAATAGCAGAGCATCCTGTATAATCAAAAAGGCACTTTGAAGGTGTTATTCTTGTTGAATCTTATTGGTTGGCCATACTCCTTGAAAAGAAATATTTGATTATCTCGTCACTTTAAATGTATCTAAAAGTCATTGAAAGTGAATGTTGACGTAAGTGCGGACTCGGTAGAGAGGATTTTACTGCAGTCTATTGTTTTATTTGGATAGGAAGTGGACACGTCTCATATAAATAATTAACAAACGAGAGAAAGTCAGCCGCCAGCCAMCTGCATGCATGATTTTGTCAACTTTTGGAAATAATAGAATTGCTAAACTCTTCAATGTTATTTCGTCTCGTGGAAGAAGATAGCAAATATTTGATATCAWCAGGAAGAAAGAACCAAACGTTGTAATATATCACTTTTTATTGTTTCCTAGAATCCCCAAGGGTGTTAAACCCGGCCATTTGCTAAGAGGAACGATCACTTATTTGAAGAATGACCCTGGAAAAAAGGTGGTAAGTGGTAACATCCTAAAATCTTCTACTTTGCCTCGTAAATTCAACTTTATGGACGTAACAACCTGTCGACTTTATTCTAGATTTTTCCTAATCTTCTAAGTAACCCATATCCCATTCATCCCATATCCCATTCATCCCATATCCCATTCATCCCATCTCCCATTCATCCCATATCCCATTCATCCCATATCCCATTCATCCCATCTCCCATTCATCCCATCTCCCATTCATCCCATATCCCATTCATCCCATATTCCTTTCTTCTTGTTTCATGATCTGAGCATCCAGGCCCTCTCACCTTGTATTACCTAATTCTCAAGTACTTTTCTCTCTGTTTATTCCATATCGAAAGGGCTTTATTGTCTTGTGGTACTTGTATTACTAATCTGATGTATAAATCCTCTTGTTAAATTGGTTTACTGAGAAGGTAAAATTATCGCTGTTTTTTTTCGATATCCTAGGACAGTTATCCTCTCGAGTATGTCGTCCCTGCTTCAGTTACAAAATCAAGCAACAAATCCAACAATACGCAAAAGCAGGAAAAGAAGGTATTCATCACTATGATTTGCGTAGTTTCTTTACCAATGATGATAATTTTAATTTTAATTTTATTGTTTTAAAAAACAATAAATGACTGGTAGTAAATAATCATGAAATCATTCTTAGCCAGAGCAACAGCTCGAAGAGGAGATTAGGGACTTGAAGATCAGCTATCTTTCAAAGTAAGACATTGTTAATTAAAAAGAACGCACGTCGTTATAAGTGAATTTTTAGACTAAACGTTTTTTGTGCAGAATGGACTCCCTTTGGGACGAGCTGCTGGCAGAGCATGGTGACTGGAGACCACTCTTRACTGAAAGGCTAAAATCACTCGATACGTCAAAGGTGACAAAGTTTTTTCGTACAAGCAGTTCAACTATCGCACTGACATTGACAATGTCAATAATAGAAACAAAAATTCAACTGTAAACATGAATATCTTGAATCTTATTAACGCAGGATCGACTCAAAAACCTTCAGGAGATCGTCAACGTCGCTGATAAAATCGTAAGCATGGTAGGTTCTACAATGGTTTTACGTACCGATAATTTAAACACAGATTAACATTCCAATGCCATCAAAATGCTGCAAAAAGACGGTGCCGAAAATTAATTGTTTAATGACTATAGTCTCCTACGCAGCCTACCTTTTGTCGGGACAGGAAGCCCAATAAAAGGGATACATTGCGAAGAAGACTCAGGATATTGACTCAGTATTCATGTGCGGTTMTCTAGATTGATCAAGTTGAGTTGGCTAGTTACTACGCTATAAAGACCGACGTCAGACCAAATGCTGCAACCATCAAAAGGTAGCAAATGATGAACCCCTTCCCTACACCTCACCGTTGTTTCCGTATCTGGAAACTTCGCAATTGTATTTATAACGAATTCGATCTAAGGCCTTTTTGCAAAGAACTAGTATTTCTAAAGAAGTACATTGTGTTCATAGTGAGAATGATGCGCTGAAGACTGCGTTGATCGATGCTTTAACTCGTAAGGTAAGAAGGGTTTTGGCGTGGGTCATGAATGGAAAGTGGATGTCACAYCGGAACCTTTGAACTCTCAAGCGACAACAATCCAWTATGAGTAGACCTTTATAGATAAATACGCAGAACARTGCMCCGCAGAGAGAGGTACCAAGTCAAAATAATAGAGTGATGTGAAGAGAGCTTCTCATTCTTTAAGATCAAAATGAAATTGCTGCATTGAAATGTTTATGTCAAGTAGCGTGTCATCTGTTCTTGTAGGGCTGTMCCTTGGCTGACATGATCCTTTTACAACATAATGGTAAGTGAACTTAATGCACTCGAGAACCTGTCAACAACCATGCTTATTTATAGGGAAATTAAGTTCCAGAGTAAAGTTTTCAATCTAGATTGGTTATGACATATTTTGGTGGGATATAGGTTTTAATGTCGGTAATGAATGTTTATARTGCTTTGACTATGCGTTTGTTCAGTCTTTCATTATTGCAGTTCCCTCTCCTTCAACATATTTTTCTTTTTTCGCACTTTAAGTGCTTTCCTCCTACTATTTCKAGATTTTTATCTCTCTTTCTCCAACCATTAGAGCTTCCCGCATCTCCTCCCTTTCTTCATTTCCAACATCTTGTCCATTTTCTATTTTCTTCTTTTCCTTCACTCGTCCCCCCCACACACTTCTTCTCTCCTTCTTTCTCAACATCCCTTCTTCTTTCAGTGTTTCATGTTGACTTTCAAACAAGAGGAAATGACAGTTRTATTTACTTTTTCTGTTTTCCGGATATTTTTTAAACAGGAAACTCTCAATATATATCATTGGGTTTTCTAAACGGCACAAATATCTTATTTCAGGCACTACTCAAGAAGAGACTGAAAAAAAACAGACCGAAGAGCCTGCCGGTAAATTAGGTAAAAATTTGCTTATATAATGGACAGATGTTATCCCATCCCCTCCCCCTGCAAGGTGAATGCCACCTTTCTCTCCCTTGATGAAAATATAGCCGACGCGACAAAAGCATGGAAAAAATGCATGAAGGCTTGTTTTCAGCTCATGTGCAACCACTGCAGTAAAGGTCTCTCTCTCAGTGAAGATCGAGGCAGCAATGTCGGTAACAAGGCCTTGAGTGAAGATGTAGCGTTATGAAGCTCCATTCCAATCAATACCCCCTGGAAATTCTGCTATTTTTTATTTTGTCTTGTTCGCTTAATTTGCTTTCTTCTTTAAATATGATTCAGTTGAAACACTTCAAGCAACCTACACTGAGATTCATAAATGGGCAGATGGCAGCGACAGCAAGGTATCATAGTTATAATGATSACAATCATAAGTAGTCAATCATTTATTCAAAATATCTATAACCAAAATAATATAACCAAATTCAGTAAACATTTCTGGATCAGTGAGTACATTGCAAAACCATATCCCATTGAATTGTGAGATCTATGATTGTCTATTTTTAGCTTTCATGACGAATTTTAGTCAGCGATGTTTTCCTTTTTGTCTTCCTTTGTTTTTTTAAAAGAAGATTGCTCTTGTTTTGCGGTTGTTTCAGCTATAATTTTTTGGCGGGCTTTTTTACGCGGGGAAATTAATTTTTTTCACGACTGGTCGGGTACTTGCGAGTCCGTAAAAACTCAAAACAAAACAAGCGTTGGAGTTAAAAATTAAAAGCTCTAAAAGGAAAGATAACCACCTTATTTGCTCAAACTAGATATGCGCATGATCAATACTTGGCAAGTAGGAGCRTATACAGTATTTCTAACCGATCATTTTATAATCTTCACGTTTTACAATCTTGTTTTTGCTCTAAATGTGGCCAACCATGGCGTTCATTAATTAAATCCAGTGATCTTCAAGTCTTAAAGYGTGGGTCAATATCAAGAAAAGTAGATATATTAATTCCGATTGTCAATCATTGTGATCTAATGATGCGGAAAACATCATTTCTTTGAATTCAGACTAACTCTTTCATTTTGTGACGTTATAAGTGATGGCAGGCTTTCCGAAGTATAGAAGTTTCCTCGTAAAGTTAAAAAAATCTACCGAATTGCGTTAACTATTGATCAAGACTCAATCAATCAATCAAAAAACAAAACAAAAAATCGACTTCAAACATGCCGACATATTTTTACAATCAAAACCTTGACAAACAAGACGAAAATTTTCTAATATTTAAACTGAAGAACTTTTTGTTCGAAAATTTATTGAACCTGTCATTGTATTCAATGTAGAAGACTTAAATGATTTGCGAATGAAAAAAAATCCGATTTTGTGTAGTTATTCTTCAATCAAAGTTTACACTACGTAGTACTAACACTTTTTCGGCTTCTTTTCTAGATTGCTGACTTTTTAATCAAAAATGCTGAGGCTCAGCAGAACTATGGCACCGCYCTAAAACTTCTTCTGAAGTCAGAGGGAACGCCGGTCAGAGCTAACGACGAAAAGATTATCGAGGTATGTTGGATTTTAAAATTGGCTTATCATAAAGATTTGATTTATTATATTGTGAGTTTTGAAATGGTGGTAACTTGTATACTTGTCTTTGTTGTGTTTTTAGCAACATGATTGTTTGTTTTTTGTTTATTTTTGTATTGTTTGTTTGTTTTTAATCTGTTTTTGTTGATGTTCTTGTTATTTTTKTCATTTCAGATATGTACTAAGCTTGGATGGGATCACTGTGTCKAATTTCTTCAAGAGAGCCTTCTTATAAAGTACCCACAAAACTATGAACTGTTCTGATAAAGTGCGACGTAAATTGGCATGCTACGGATCCCTGGAGAACAGTTTTCAACCGAACACACTTCACTTATTTTCKTATCAATAATTGTCAATTTGAAAGTCTGCACGAGGATTTATGGCACAGGTATCCTGCTAACAATTGACTATAGAGGCTTGTTTCGACAGTATACACCGTATAAACTATCTGGATTTCTACAGTTTTTTTCCAATTAATTGAAGTATTTCACCGTATTTATTCTATTGTTACAGTATCACATTGGTSCAAGAAGGGGAGGTGTGGGGGGTAGTTTCTTACCGTGAAAAGGAGAAAACAAATTAGCAGGGCTGGTCTTGCAATTATTTTAGTTTGCCTTAGGGGCAGTTGTCGCTGGTGKAAGAAGATGCCTTTTTTCTTTGGACTAAACAAATTAGTCATTTGGTTAAACTTATTTGTTTTGCCGTAAGGATAATGGAAGGTTAAGCCTGTAAATCAGTTTATCTTTCAAGAATAAAAGCAAAGTTGATTTTTTTTTCTTGACCTGGAGGACCAAACGTTTTTTTATAAAGATGAAGTATAACAATGATTCTGGATATAGAATGTATCACATGTAAGTGTTTTAAAATTTTCAATGAACAACCCGCAAGTTGTTTTCGAAAGGTTTTTAAAATATTGTAACTCCCCCACGTGGTAAATTAACAGTATCACTCAAAATAATAAMGATAATAAAGCTTTGTTTCCAATTTGTTCTTTCTATTATTTGTGGTGGTAAAGATTCTTTTAATGCAACTTGATGTAGTTGGATAATTGCTAATAAACTTTCACGCAAAAGTAGCTTTTTTTAGTTGTTTTTCTTTTAGTGCCAAGTCAGCGGAATAAGATTTCGTTTTGATGTCCTGTCGGTGATTGTAAGTGAATCATATGATCATTTCAATAATGTACCTGTTTTTTATTGAATGTGATATTGTTCAGTGGCAATCTWAGTAAATACTTATTGCCATGTGCTGTGGGCACTGATGGGAACTATCGTTCTAGAGTATATACGATCTACAGATGAAATAGTACTGTTACTATGAGAACTTTGTTATTCTTAGCAGTTAAGTACTTTTTGGCTTAGCTTATACTCTCTCTTCGTGGCTTTTCAGTGCCGTTTCAGCATTACTTTTTCATTTGCCTTTAAAATGCCGACGGCGAGCGTCGCGCAATCGCAAACCCGCAAAGGGCGTACTTAACTAAGTACCAAGAAGCTTGAATTGAAGTCTTGCGAGMRCCKTCTACTTGTTCTCGCTGACAGAATCTTCATTTCATGGTGGTGATTGCATCATGTACGTTAAGAAGCCATTAAAGTTTTACAAGCTCCAAGCCGAACTGGTTACATTGTTAGGTCAGCATGTTTTTGCTTGAATCGTGGCTCGAGTTCAATCAACTGTGAGACCAGCTGGCAGTCTATTGTAAGACTCTTTTAAACTTGGCACATTTATGGAGATTAGAATGCTTTGACTTTAAAGCAATTTTGCAATTATATCGTGCATACAGAACAAAACATGTTTCAATGCAATAAAAAGGCGAGAGCAGTCCTGCTTTGAAATTATATTACTGTCTCGCAGCTTGGCGCCATTTTCACGGTATTATTCTTTCAAGCGAAAAAAAATCAGATTGGCGCGAGGAAACGTAAAAACACAAGTATTTTTTTATGAGTTTATTGATGATAAAGTTTTTAAATCAATTTTTTCTACTCAGTTTTAGAGATAAAAGATTGCTTCTCTGATGTTAAAATGTCGCGGGGAWTTCTTGCTGACACAGAAAGAAAGTGACGAGATCATCTCGAGCCTTTTTTTCTCTCTCGATCAATTTCAATAAAATAGAACGCGCAAGGAGACTTCAATCGCCGCATCGCCGATGCATACCATCCGTCTTTTTGGAATTCGATGGATTTCTGGGTAAGAAGTATTGAAAAGCCTAAGCAACATAAAACTKTTGAATGGTTTACTATTAGTATCCTGTCAAAACGCCGTCCTGTAATATAAACTTAATTCTATTTCAAGAGTTTGAATGCTCATTATCAACACTTCACTAATTCTTATTATGCGGCAACTTCTCGTGCGAAAGAATCTCATTGTACTRAGTCGTCAATCAGAATTGAAGTCGTGTGAAGAACGTTTATTATTTCGATTTTGAAGGCTGAAAAAKCAATATTTTCTTCAAACCGCTAATAAAACCTTGTTTSCCATTGACAGGGTTCCCGGGCCAGTGAGAAGTTCCCTCCAAATGTTCTTAGCCAATCAGATTGTAGAATGATTTTCCCGCGAACGAGGCAGCGAAGCAATTTAAAGAATGCTGCGCGTGCTCAGTTYGCTGTTTAYGGCCACGTGGTTAATGATTGACCAATCAGCGTYCAAAATTAAACCCCACCGCGAAAGATCGTTTGTCAGGGCCTCAAACTCGCTGCAAAAAACATGTCCGCTTGAGCGAAGCGCGTCGAGAGTATTTCGAGAAAGCAACTGAAACTCTTCTCCTTCCATCAAAAATGCCCCACGAGGCATAAGTGCAGTGGGTTAAGATTCCATCTACCATTCAAAGGCACTTTGAMAGAAATCGGGCAAAAATCTGAGAAGTATTGTCCCGTTGAAGTTCATCGAGTGAATGGTCTTTGTGGATCGTAGTTGGTTTGTMCCTATGAGAGAAGCGTGTGTGTGAGGTGTTTGWTCRCCTTCGATTTTGCGGCGATCTTCACAYATGTCGAATCCTGCTACTACACTTACTAGTGCGTGGATTGATGGTAAGAAAATAGATACTTCTCTCACCTACACGTGCCGTAATAGGCAGTTAGATTGGTGYGAGTTGGGCTTCGCCGTCGTCTTGTACCCGCATTGTTGCTTTTTCTTCTGACTTGGATTGGTTTACATTGCTATATTTTTCTCTTAACCTACCCTGCGCGAAATTTAGTCTCTGAAACTGGGAAAAGGCTTTTTTAATGAGTTTAAACTTGTTGGTTTATTTTCTATTTTACTTTCCGTAATCTAACAATTCTTTAATAAATAAGCAGAGGGCTGATTATTCAATTTCCCTTCAGGTCAACCTAGCCCTGTAAAGAGTACCAATTCTTCACCAACCAAACGAGCATTAAGCCACGAAGGATCTTTGTTGCAGCAAAATTACCTTAAATTCAGAGAATCAGGTCTAGAAACGCTGGCAAGAGAGGTAGGTTAAGAATGGCTAATCGAGGATGGTTGAATTTGGATGAACAGCATCAAGCTTACATGGGAYCTCGATTTGGTACCAATCMARTCGTTCTAGTGTAGTGAAGTTCAAGTTCAACAAGATCTAGATTTATAATTCATGATTATAACTCAATTTTTATAGTTTTGCCTTAACTTGAAAGTTTTGTTTACCAGAATAAAACTGAACTTGCATGAYATGAAATTTTTGTTACATAAGGTGTATTAGTTATTCTCGTTATATGTGGATGCCTTTTGTTTGCCTTTGGATCTTTAAGATGCCTAAAACTCATGATTGTCTTGCAGGCTGTTGTAATAGAGAATAATGGTCAAATAGAGCAAGCCAAGAGTTCACCTATAAACCTACCAAAAGGTAAACCCTGCAGTATTGCGTTTTTGGTTAACTAAGTCCACTGTTTACCGAACATTGCATTTCGAAACCTGATCCATATTTATAGCTGTTAAAGTTTAATTTGTTCGTATTTCTAACGTGATTTWAAAATATTTGACTATTTGATGTMGTATAATTTGTGTCGAGGTCTGGAATAACCGGAACTGCAATTTTTAGCCAGCGTATTAATGATCAAAGAAGGTTAATGTTTTTCGACGTTATTGAATACATCCTGAGATGTATATACCTAAACTACGCTCTTAGAATAAGATATATTCAGATACTTGGCAAAGTGTTTGTGTCTGAACAGATRATTGTCTGTTTAGTGATATCTGAGCTAAATAGCACATTATTAGCTGGAATTATTTACTGCTTATGGATTATTTATCTATTATTAGTATAAATTTATAGCAGGATYTTGCAGGCTATATTCTGATGACTTGGCAAAAAATACTCTACTTTCATATTGAACTGAAGAATTTTCCTCGCTTCTTTGATAATCCATGTTTAGTATTTTACTATAAACTACATGTWTTAATAATTTGGTCTATTGTGTTTTCATGTGTTGATATAACTTGCTAGTAGTTAAATATGATCAGCCAGTCAAGAGGGTATATAACTGTAAGTTGTTCAAAAAGGGAAATGATGCTCTAGATCTGTTATGCTCTCCATCTGCAACCATGCATATATCAGTAGACAGAGATATGACCAACAGATCAWTTTTTTTCCAATTGAATAAAAGCTACTTAGTCTGGTTTTCATAAGTGTGTGAAAAAATCTTTTGCATGCTGCTCTATTTTTTACTCTTTATTTTTGATGCTTTCCTTTTTGTTATACCACACTTTGARTATTACAGTTTTTGTTTCACWACTTATGAAAACCATTTTAAGCTTATAAGGTTTTTATAAGGCTTATAAGGTCCATTTCATTAAGCACAGAAACGTCTTCAGACCTAAACTATAAATTGTAGCTCTAGTAAGTACTTTATTGATAGAGATAAGTTATAGAGAAAGAACAGTTCAGTGATAGAATTCTACTTTCAAATTATGAGGAGGTGATCATTATTCAAACTTTTTTAGAATCTACTTAAAGTAAAGGAAAGAGTTGAATTAGGCTGATAATTTCTAAACTCTTTGTCTTGTTGGCCTATAACTACATGTACTTTCAAGTCCTGTGTCAGCGGTCACATTTGACCTGATATCACAGTGAGCTAATAATGCACCATACAAGTGGATAAGCAAAGTGGTCCTGATATCATATATATAAACTGCAATCATTTCTTTCTCTTTCTGTCATTTTCTCTGCCTTTATTGTCTAGGTTGTTATAACAGGAAAACTGGCTGTACTTTATATACTAGCAAAGACAGCCAGAACCTTTTCAACTCATATTTCTAGTGATAGAGGAAGTTGGTTTATGTATATGTGTTGTGAAATGAAGTGCACAGTCAACCAATCTCTGTTCTCTCTATTTTCCAGTTTTGGCATACTAAAAAAAAATTCTTGCTCTATGCTACGATTGCTTTTTACCTGAAAAACATTTGCAGCTACATTGGAAAATATCATAAAGAAAGACACTCAAAATGCTTGAACTGTATTTTACTACCTCAATTCTTTCTTTAAAAGAAAAGCAGTTARATCAGCAGGTTCTGCTGCACATGGTAGTGTAATAGACTTATTCAGGGGATGGCTGATGGCCTATTATCCACGTCARGCATGGATTTAAGAGTGAGCAGGCTTCAGGGATGAGATTGATAACCAACCAGACGTGATGTCTTTATACATGGATAATATTTTGTTACTTGTTACAGCACTAGATATGAAAGTGTCTTACTTCTCAGAAAACCTCATAAATTCTTTAATCTTCTGTGCTGCTATTGGCTCAAATTCTTATTAGTTTAGGCTAGCATGTCGCAGTGAGGTAATAGTGGATTAGAGTCAACTTAAAACTCTTCAACACAAACAGACAATTAACACATGTAGGAAATAAAATCAATTTGTGTCAAAGTTGGAGTGTGCCAGTGTTTGTYCATGTATTAGCACATCTTTGTTTAATTGCTCCTGCACACGTCAGTTGTTGGTTTAGCAGTAGGTGGGATGTTTATTTTTTGATAAAACAGCGTCATTTGGATTTAAGAACTTGTGACTATCCATTCCTCTCAAAAGCTCATGAAACTTTGTTGAAGAGTGTTCAACAATATTTTGTCCTATTCTGAGTACAATCAACAGCACAATGAGTATCTACGGTTTTGAAGTATCTAGAAACCAGATTTATGCAGAGCAAACCCCCATGTTTGGGCAAGACAATGCAATTTTTAGTTCAGGATTGTCAGGATTGCACATAAATGAACCAAACAGATCTGAAATGTTTTATGGCACAGAAAGTTTCCCAAGTGAGGAAAACACAGTGCTTACTTACAACCCTAGCTGTATGTATGGAAGTTGTGAGAGACTTGACTGGAGGCYTCAAGGGCTTGGCCAAGAAAACTCTGGTCATCTAGAAATGCTCTTTCACAATCATGATAACATGAATCCCATTTTTGATCCATTCAATGTTGAAAATATGCCTCAGTACTTTGGCTATGGTAGGTCTTTGAGTAAGAATTCTGATAGACTTTTATATTTCTATGTAGCTTCTTTCTCAATAGTTAGTTTTTCAAAAAAAAGACTTGTAGCTTTACTAAACCAGAAGTTGGTTATATAAATGTACTCTTCTACACAAGTCTCTAATCAGAAAAGGCTGGTCAAAGTCATCTCCAAAAAAGGCTTGCAACTTCACTAAACCAGGATTTGGTTATTTACTCTTCTTCACAAAGTCTCTAATCAGTAAAGGCTGGTCACAGTRAAATGRTGYCCATTCCTAACTAAGGATATAATYCCACATACCTGCAAATGTGCAGATTTCTATTTTCAATGCCACCAATTTGTGCTTCATTGTTTAGTCAAGTGATCTTTATTTAAAAATGTGATAATTATGTCTCAGTTATGTCCATGTATTGTTATTAAACCTACATTTCTTTACTATAAGTTACTTCATAAAGTTTTGGTTTTTATAATGGTAAATGTTTTCAGGCTAGAACATTTATAGAGATTCTTGAACGTTTCTTGCTTCATCATCTCCCTGGAAATCCATTCCAACACGTACATGCATTGTGGTTAAAATGTGGTTTTTCAGAGGGTGGATTTGATGAGTTTCACTACTTTTCCTTGTATATTAAATAKATTTTGAAGGRTTTTGCAAACCTCTTAGACATTTAATCCACTGCCTTATTTGCATTTGGAGTTTTAGTTTTTGAGTGACATACAGTGTAACTGTGATATTTGGATCATGCTCATCTTTTTCAGGTTGTGCATATCGTCATGCTTTTATTGTATTTTGATAAACACTGAGTTCTATTTTKGTTAATATTATGATAGATACAACTGACAGAAGTTAAGCTAATTAATTATAGGGTCATGACCTTGCATACTTCTACATGAGATTGTCCATTAAGATAATGTAGAGAAATTAACAGGTTATAAAAAGGTGTTTTAAAGCCAATATGTGCTGTAGACTCTTTGTTATCTAAACTTTAAGAAMTTTGAGCTGTCTATGTTTCCACACCAGGGCTTAAAAAGCTTTCATGAGCAAAATCAGTTCTAAACATTAGCTTTTGTTTGCTGTGATAACAAAGTTGCATGCAAGCAGTTATATCTGCTTATATCTGCTCTACAGCTTATTTTTTAARTGTAACAAATCTCAAATCTACATTACTGACCCTGATCACTCAAATTCTCTTTTTTTACCTGATTTTATCTGAGAAATTTACAGAGTCATCTTCCAGATTTTAGGATTAAACCCTGCTGAACAAACACACTAAAACCAAAACCTGTCTTATAGAGAAAGGTTAAMGACCACACCAACATTYTTGTTGCGACACGCGTCAGACCATTGACTTAACATGGTGATAAATACCTTGATAAGTGTTTTAACAGACACCAGACATCGATTATACACTATATAAAAGACATTTAGACAAAAATATTATTTGATATATGTGCCATTTCGCTTAGAGTGGAAATATAGAAATTTGTGTTGTATTTTATTATTATATAATATCTTGTAGTAAAGTTTTATATTCTTTTTAAGGGCACCCCAATTCTGTATCAATGCCGGCTGGAACACCCACCAAGTTGTCGCCCCTAATCCTTCCCAAAGCTGCTAATACCCCAGTATCACCCATGGTAAGTCCCTTTAGATTCTGGTTCAATCTCTTGTGCCATTTTCYGGTGATATTCACACAACTATGACTTTGTTTCAGATCATGGGTTCACCTCAAGGACAGCAGATTATATCTGTTAGTAATAGTCCTCGCACTCCTGCRGCTATGATTGCTGCTCCAATAATTACAACTCCTGCTAATACTTGGCCAAGGTACAAATGTAGCATAGTMGAGAACACAGCCATAGATTTCACTGTCACTACAGTATTTATCATCAACATCATATTATAACTAACAATATATTATAAAAACAGCATAATATATCAGTTTTCTAGCCAAACAGCACTTTAGTGTATGGTCAGTTGGGTAGACTCAAAATCACACGCATGCACTCTATCTCTATTTATCTCTTGTTATCTGAAGTAGTGATGTTGTAAATTAATTAATTAATTTTCTTTTGAAGGGTTACCCCAGGCAGTAATAGGAAACGAAGAGGAGAATTTGGAGAGAACAATGACATAATGGACAGTGCTGAGAGGTGAATGTTTGAATTAGACTATGCTCTCACTTGTGTTTTGAAGACTGAGAAAAAGAAAAGATTCATACAAACTACTCAATTGCAAAACCTAAACCATAAATGTACATGTATATTAATGTTTTTAGGAGGAAAAGGGGTAAACGATTGCCCAGTYCTGGAAGGGGCCCAGTGMGTGATAAGTCAGGGAAAGGTTTGAGGCATTTCTCAATGAAAGTTTGTGAAAAAGTACAGCAAAAYGGAACAACATCTTATAATGAGGTATGTTCAAAAGTAAACTGGAGCGTTACTAATTATGATATACATCTGATCATATATTTTGTTCTCAAGGTTGCAGATGAACTTGTTCGAGAGTTTAGTGACCCAGAGAAGCACATGTCTCCAACTGATCAGGTTTGTTTAGAATAGTATATTATAATATCTGTCTTTTACCTAATAACCTGCGTTATTATTTTATTTTTAGGCATATGACCAGAAGAACATAAGAAGAAGAGTGTATGATGCACTCAATGTCCTAATGGCTATGAATATTATTTCCAAAGAAAAGAAAGAAATTAGATGGATAGGACTGCCTACAAACTCTGCACAAGAATGTCAACAGCTAGAGGTACAAAATGAGCAGAACAATATTGATTWTACAGTACCAGCAATTACAAAACAAGAAACAAGAATTAGTGTACTCTATTGTGTCACAAGCAAGCAGTTACTAATCCWTATTTTGTTCCAATCATTTACAGGAAGAAAAGAAGGAGAGACAAGACAGAATTAGACAAAAGACAGCTCAACTCCAAGAGTTAATTTTACAGGTACAGTTAAAGTTTTGGATTGTTGTACAGGAAAACATGGTCTTTGTGGCGATTTTCAGAGATTGGTGGTAATAGTTTACTATTTATTATTSATATTCCCAACAGCAAATCGCTTTCAAAAACTTAGTACAAAGAAACAGAGTKAATGAAAAACATCAAGGTGTGCCAGCACAGAACACAACAATTCATCTTCCCTTTATTATTGTCAACACAAGCAAGAAAACTGTGATTGACTGCAGTATATCAAATGACAAGTAAGTGATTCCTATAAACAATTCATCTTTTATATGCAAATAACTAAGAGACATWTATTTATTTTTATGCAGGTTTGAATATTTGTTTAATTTTGATAACACATTTGAAATCCATGATGACATTGAAGTTTTAAAACGAATGGGGATGGCCTTTGGTTTGGAAAAGAAAGCTTGTTCAGAAGATAACCTGAAGCTTTCTAGATCAATGGTCCCTAAAGCTTTAGAGCCYTACGTAGTTGGTGAGTACCATTCTGTTCATCAATTCATTTKTAGGATTAGATCTGTTTTGTGTTTTGTATCATAYATTTTAATGCRTCTTTTATCGCAGAAATGGCCAAATCAGGACCTGTTGGTCTAAGCTCAAACAGCATTAGTCCTTCCTCAGTATCGTGAGTATTTAGACTTTTAGACAATTATCCAGACATTATTTTCTTCACAATCATCAGTGTTTTGTATATTTTATATTTTGCCTTGCTCAACCGTCTTCCAGTCCATTTCCATTTTGTATGTCTGAAAAACTGTTTGTCTCTCAGTTCACTAGTTCTTTAGTTGTGTACCACTGCCAATGCAACACTTGCTCTTTTCTTTGATGTCTGAAATTAAATATGGCTTTTGTTCTCAGTTCCAGCTCAGGAAAGTCACCACTTGTCACTGCACAGGTGCGTATGTCTGAAATGCCCATGGCCAATGCACCATCGTCACCYCTTGCTACTCCCCTTTCACAGGGTGTGTCCCCAGTCCCATCAGCCAACAACCATAAAGGCACAGCAAGGTCATCACGGACCTCGTCCATGGCTAGTGATGGTGTTGTTTCACACAGAACAGTGTCACCCTGCTCTTATCCATCTTCACCAGCTTCTGTATCAGAATCAGAGTCATCTCATGATGGATTTATGGACACTGACGAACACTCAAATCAGTAGGGTAGTGTGGGGAAAAGCAGGTCTTTGTAATGTTTTAWTGTYAACAAAAAAAATTGTTTTATATCTGTCATTATTACTTCGGCAAACAGGAATCTGTACTTTAAGATGCAGTGTGAAGCTTTGAGGCATTACTCTTCACACTTCCTTTCMGCTATGGTTTCCTTGGAATTTGCTGTATTCAGTGAATTAAGTTGATTAGTTCAAATAGTTTTAACTTTGTAGGCATCCTGTAGCCTTCTAACTTGCATTTCATGGTTACTCAGAAAGGAAATGTGAAGTGGACATTGCATTCTGCTCCAGTTGCAATAACACTTTTGATTCAGCCAACCTATATTATACATGTCAGAATTAATTGCATTCTTGCTCTGTAGCAACTTTGTGCTACATTATGAAATTGGCCTCATGTCATGTGATGAAATAATCAGTGTTATCACACTTATMGACTTTGTGTGCACATTATAGTTGTAAAAATATAGGTTAACTTGACTTTTTCAGTGTTTTATTGCCGAGATTCCAGTTTAAATTACCAGCCATGAGTGCAATATTCATAAATCAAAAATATTTTCTTCATTATTTTGTATATAATTTTCAATAACCATCTTTTGTTTGTGTGCTTGTTCAATGGTTTTCCTGTCATTTTACAAGAGTGTATAATGTAGACTTAGATAGGTAGATGAATGATTGTCAAAGGTTGTAAATTATAGCATAAATATTTCAAAGTTGCTTTATTAGCTTTCCTAAAGTTAGTGCACTTCACAATATGGCACAAAATATGCTGTAAAGTTTGAAATGCTATATTGTTAGTTAAGGATAGTAGTCTTTGAGACATAGATAAAAGTAGTTTTAGTATGTGGAGATTTTGTTTTGRAAGATTTGATTTTAAATGTAAAAGGTTTTGTTTTTATTTTCTCATATACATGGCATTAGATGATACAATGTACATTAGTATACTATGTGTGAATACTAAAAGAAAGTCTGAACATTCAACATGACTATCTTTAAGTACAAACTTTTTAACTCAGTTGAATCTAGCCAAACGAAAGGCATGGTTTGTCACTCGTTTGCTTGATGATTCTAAGTCAAAGAAATAGTCCACTTATGATGTGAACTGAAAATTTCCAGAATTTCACAGTGTGATCAAAAAGCCTACACAGTTGACTACGTCATTAAATCTTTGCTATACTTTAAGTATCAATAGTTTTTTCATAGTSTTGGACATGTAATTGGCTTTAGACAGTCCAGAACCTCGACTTTGTATCTGTCTTATTTCTTATCACTATGCTTTAGTTCATAAAAAGGCAATAGCATACACTTTCCCCCATTAAAATATAGTCACACAATATGGCTTGACACACTGTGAATATAACCATTATTATTTTATAAATAGAATGATAAGATGAAGTAAAAAAAATCATTGGCTTTTTATGATTTTTTTTTCAGTACAAATTTGATAAAACATTTGGGTCCTTATTTGTGACTTCTTTTCCAACATAGGGATTGTGTATTTTAAAGACATCACAAAGCATACATGACAGTGCCTGCTTTATTAGAGAAATTCATTACACCTAATCAAGCAACACACATTATAATCATGTTGTTATATAAAACAAGCTAACTATWACAAAATATTGTTAGTCAATATAAAAGCTATTAAAAAAATACAGAAAAACYTCTTTTGTCAATTTTTAATTCAATGCAGGAAGTTTATAACTATTTACACATGGTGAAATGTAATTATCCAATAATATCATAAATGGTTATTTGGTTGCTTAAATCTCCAATATAAATTTGATTCTTATCAGTTGAGAAAGAGCTGATCCAATTWATTTTGGAGCGATGATTAATGGTACATCTGACTCCAAATCCTTGGGTATTTGCAGCGTAACTAGAAGCTGTGTTTTCACTTGCGTGGAAACCATTTTGATTTGTATGATAGTCCCAAAGTACAAGTTTTGCATCATTTCCACCTGACAAAAGCAGGTTTGGAGAGTTTTTGAAGTGAGGAAAATGTACTTGAGACACTCCAAGAGTGTGAGCTTTCAGAGTTTGGTCAGCAYCAAACTTCTTCTTTCCTTCAAAGTGAAATAGCTGGACACTMCCATCCCCTGATAATGTAAAGGAGGTGAGTTAGAACYGTTGGAAAAGGAATATAATAATTTCACAGTGCACTATCAAAATGTTGTCTAGTAAACAGTTTATCCTATATACTCCCAAAAATAAAGCTCATGGAGGAGACACAGTAGCTCCATCACTATACCATGTTATCTTGCAAGTGCATGATTCCAAGAAAGGGAGCCAAAGGATGATGATATACTTACCTAATCCAACAYCAAAGTCTCTGCCGTTGTCTTTCATGTGGACTGAATGTACAAATGGTGGGTTAATAAAGTACTTGTCCTCCTCTGTTCCAGTCTCKTGCACGTTAACCTCATGTGTGACACGCCCAGATGAAAAATCCCATGAAACCACCTTGAAGTCCATACCACCACTGACTAGGTCCCACGGCCGCTGAGGTCGAAATTGGACGCTTGAGCAGATGTTTGTATGAGTTCTGTTAAGTGTCTTGAATAACTTATTTTGCTGCAAGTCGATGATTTTAACTGCGCCAGTGTCATCACATGTAGCCATGTATTGCCCCTTATCATGAAGAACGATTTGGTTTATCTCATCCTCGTTGRATTCAAATTCACAAAGCGGACTTTGCATTGATCGCAAATCATAGTTAAAAACTTTAGTCCCTGTAGAGAAGAAYAGCTGCTCSGGTTTTTGTTTCGAGAAGCACACGCTTGTGACCTCGTCTTCACCGATCGAATTGATCTTCGTCAAAGGCCTCCCGTCTGACGTCCAAACACACAAACAATCCTCTCCACCAGAAGCTAAAACACCGAAAGTATTTATGTCTAATGACAACACAGATTCATTATGACCACCACTTAGAACGCTGTTCTTATTCATACTTTGAGTWTTACGAGTTTTTAGCGGAAAAACACGAGGTTGGGTCAAGCTCAATAACGAYCAGGCGTTACTTTACCACAAATGGGTAAGACAGCTGTTTTGTTTGCGGGCTTTGGTATCCTTATTTGGTTGAAAGACTTGGCGGCCATCTTTGAATTTGACTGAAATTTAGTTTTGAAGATTTTGGTAAAAGTATAAAGGGATATATCATGAATCCTATGACGTAAGTGTGTTTCCTTTGTGTTGCCTTTGTATGTTTATTTGTGTTTCAYCATAAAGCAGTTTGCTGAGGTTGGTTGATGTCTTGTTTCCATAAAATGTTTATTCTGTCAGTGAAACTACAGTTTTTACGAACACATGAAAAGAGAATGTGTCATTCTCTCTGTGTTTGGAGGAATGACTCAGATTATAAACGATTACATCTCATCACAAAAGCATACATAAAGCTTAAAACTTTAATAAAGTAATGAGATAGTTATGTATGCTAGCTGTATTATTGACCAGACAGTCTTATTAAGCTTAGTACTCATCATACTACTAGGATCTCATATCTATATATTTAATCAAATAGTGATGTAGGTTATTTTACATCTCTAAGGTGATAATATCTAGAGACCTTAACATCCTTTTTTATTAAATGAGATGAGTCTCAGAGAGAGTGAAGTGTTTTGACTCAGGAAACAACGTCATCGGCTCTTCTTTGAGTTGAACTCAGACCTGAAGACCCCAAGTCAAATACCTTGACAACAAGACAATAATATCTCTCACACACCATCAACTTTTTCACTTTAATTTCAGAAATGTCAAGAATATTCAAAAGCTCAATGAGCGCATGCTTGAGATGGGTGTAGCAGATGATGTATCATGGCACAAACAATACAAGGACAGTGCATATGTGTTTATTGGAGGATTGCCGTATGACCTTACAGAGGGTGACATCCTTTGTGTCTTTTCACAGTAAGTGTGGCAATAACTTCTACAGTACTTCATCTCTAATTGACTAAGCTATTTAGGGTCATATTGAAAACTGAGAACAGATAGGAAAACTGACGATGTACTTGTGATACAAATTGAAGGATTTAGATATTTGATGATCATATTAACTATCAATGTTTTTTGTAAATATTACATTGTTATCATTATTATAGTTGGTATTTTTTTCCTCAGGTATGGTGAAATAGTTAACATCAACCTTGTACGCGATAAGAAAACAGGAAAACAAAAAGGATTTTGTTTTTTATGTTATGAAGACCAAAGGAGRACTATATTGGCTGTAGATAACTTTAATGGCATTAAGGTACTAATACAGCAATAATTGTATACAGAGGAGAGTGTTAAGTATTGACAATTATTTACATAAGAAAAAAATGAAACGACTAAAGATTTGGCATCATTTACTACTATATAGTTTCGTACCGCACAAAGAATTGTGCGGCACTCATCTTTTCGTATATTTTTTTATTATTTTGTTTAGCTTGGTGGTAGAACAATCAGAGTTGATCACTGTGCAGATTATCGCAGACCAAAAGGAGATGAAAAAGATGATGATGGCAAAAGAAAAGAGATCATTGAAGAWGGTTGTGCACCCAAAACGCCTTCACCATCTCCATCAGAAGARGAGAAAGAACCCTACAAACCAATCAAAAAGAAAAAGAGCAAGAAAGAGAAAAGTCGCAAACAAAGTAAMRACAAGAAYCAGYAAAATTCATCWGAWTCAGAGAGTGAAGACAACCAAAAYTACAAGAAGCATAGTGATAAGGATACAAAAACCAYGACAAGAAAATCTAATGATAGAAGTTACACAGACCAAGCATATGGGAATACTAAAGAAAGTCATCAAAGGGATTATTCAACTGTTAGTAAGATAAGAGAATGGGACTATGGAAAGAGGAATGTAGATCAAACCCAAAGCACAAGTCCATCAAAAAGAAGAAAAACAGAATGGGACAATGAAAGAAAAGAAAYAGATGAAAGACATTCTTACTCGAGGGAGGGAGGAAAAGATAAAAGTTCCTATAACAGGGAGGAAAATTTGGATTTTAAAGATCATAAAAGTAGAGATAAACATCAGGATAGACATGATAAGTATTACAATTCAAAGAGGGACAGAAGTGATAATGATTACAGGGAAAGAGATAGAAATAGTAAAAGAGAAAAAAGGAAATAAACATTTTATGAAGATATTACAGGAATGGATAAAAAAGATGCCAATGAGATCTACCATTGGAGAATATGAGCAAAATGTATTGTTTTTATTTTTTTATATTGTAATAAAATATTGTATCCTGTTGCAGGTATGCACTGCATCTGATAATTTGTTTATTCATGAAAAACAAAACAAACAATATAAAAATGCATTTTAAGTTAAAGATAATTTTATTTTGAACTTCAGATTTTTCACTTACAATATTTAAAGCAATTATTACCGTCAAAAGGCTAATACATACATATAAAAAATATTTCTCTAATATTTATTGATGGAAACAGATTTGTGAATTCCAACAGTTCTTTTTTCTGAATTATAACTCTTTCCTCCAAACCCTCTGTCATGACGAAGAGGAAGAGTTGAWGCTGACAYTGACGATACTTCCCAATATAGACTACGAGACAAGAATAGATTGTACAACCACAAGATGGATGCTGTTTGAGCAGTCAGTAAACCCCAGGTAATAATCTAAAGGAAAAACATTTGTGAGCTGATAAAGATCTTGACAAATCATCTATTAATAAAAGTGTATTGTGTTATGAAGGGTATTTTTCTTAACCTACCTTGTATCGCATATAGACAGAAAATAACAATGAAAATATTAATAAACAAGGGTAAGCAAGAAGCCATAGCAGACAACTCTGAAAAAGAAATCATAAAACACAGTGAATGACTGAACAATAGTACAGGAAAATAGACTTAAAATTTATAGTAATTTCAATGATTGATTGGTTGGATAAGGGCTGAATTATTAGTTTGGTAAAAAGTTTCAAGGTATTGATTTGATGGGTGGGTTCATAGATCAATGTGCTGGTTGATTTGTTGGATTGTAAAGTGGAGACTAACCAGCAATAATTTTCTAACCAACTATTATAAAACTTATTAATAATGCATGAGCTATTACTCCAATAAGTGCTGTCCGTTTAATCAGGTGATTGACCTTGTAAATCTGATACAACACTAGTGTGCTTAATAGCAACTTAACTTAGCAGTTACCTTATTTGTCATTTTTTGTCATTTATCTCACCGTAATTCATGTTAATTAGTGTTGGAGTTTCATAAGTTGTTTACAACATTCGCATCCGTGTTGTATGGGAATTACAATCTCGAGCCGCAGGCTGCTCATGTTGTAAACTATACATGTAACAGCTACTTACCTTCATAAATTTACTATAAAACTCTCTACGTAATGTACTTCGTTCTTCAGTAATTTTTCTAGTGATTACAAAGCTAAATCCAGCAGCTATCACAAGCTGAACTATTGTACATATAACTACTAGTTCCCATACATCTAAAATTATCTGAAAAAATAAGAATAGGACATAATTCAACCAGCATTAAAAACACTGCAAAATTTSTTGTAAACACTTTTGAGCACAACWGGAATAACCAAGAAAAACACTTTGTGTGTGTGAACGAGGCTGTTTTTTGTAAGTTTCATTGTCTGTTTTATTTTGAAGTCACACCTGAGTTCTTAGATACAAATGTTTTTTTRRSCCACAACGTTGGAATTTTGTGTTAACATACTAGACAGTGTGATAGCTGATTAAGTCTGTTATGTAGTGAAAGGCATGATTTGACTTTCAGTCATTGTTTTCACTATAGCACACARATTTTCTAACAATATGTAATGAATACAATGAAAACTAGCATAAGCAATAAAGATWTGCCAATTCCTGTATACTGTTGTTATGAATGTAATTTAGTTTGAAAATAATCATATTTGGTTGAGAACACAATATACCTTAAAAATAACAACAAGTGCTACTCCTATAGTCATTTGTTTTATGATGTTTGGGTCCACTGTGGATGARGAGGAAGTTAGAGTGTATCCAATGCACAGCCTGCACATCATTGACATCATCTCATAATCAGCCAGTCCTTTCATCACTATGGCAACAAATAATTTATTGAATTTAGCATCAGTTGTAAAGATATGATTCGCAATGACTATATTATAAGTATACTACATTTAACTTACTTGTGGCAATTTTAGAAAGCCAAGTAAAACCTATACCATCACCAGAATATCTGTGAAGCAAAACCAACACAGATTTCTTGCTCATACTGAAATTATTACATGAAAGTACTGATATATCAAAGAAATTATACCTGAAGAAATGAATAAGTGTCAAGCAAACWGCAGATCCATGGTATATCATTGCTTTAGTCAGGATTTTTATAACCTAAAGCACGTGAAAACAAATATATATTATATTTATTGATACTTTTAAAATTATAGTATACTATATTGATAGRAATAATATTACCAGGTTCATTGGTCCACCCTTCTGGATTGTCTGCCAAAGTCTCTGGCCATAGATAATGATTCCAGCAAAATACAGGAAACCTAGTAACTCGTAAAATGACAAGAGTCCTACAAAGAGAGAAACAATGATGTCACAAAACTGCCATTACTTAAAGAGTATAATACATGTGTATTTTAAAGGCAGTAGCCAAGAAGTTTACCAGTCGGTAGAACATATAAAAACAGAAAATAATAATTTGTTTTAGTAGCCTTTTATTTCATATTCACTGTCATATTCTTRCCATATAACCAGTGCTTTCCCCTTGGCTATTGCCCTGACTTTTTATCCAAAATTACTAACCACTTTCATCATAACTAAAGTGATTTGTCGGATTTCCTTTGGAGTCAGGGTTATACAGTTCTAATGTGAATTTTTTGTCATTGTAGACACTTTGGCTTGGATCACAAGATACATTGTCTGCATAAACTATGTGCCATATATAAGGATGTCCCCATTGTTCAAAGGCAACATCACCAGATTTTCCTGACAGCATGTCTGTGAGACAACAAATTAAAAAGTTAAACTAGCAATGTTTAGCATTAGAGTTGGTAAATGCGATTATTTTTCAGCTCAACAGTTAAATCTCCTATAACACAATTCTTCAAATGCAACTTTAGTTGCTCTTTTTCCTAGGGGAAAAACCCATACCCCGTAGCGTGGCATACACCCTTATACCCCCCTCCCCCAACCTGGACTCTTTTAATTACAAAGCATTTGTGTGGGAAACACTAAACCCTAACTATTGCAACTCAATCAGCTTTATGAGTTGCAATACTCTTCTCCACAGTTCACTCCAAAAACAAAGCAAGACAGCCATGAAAGGTTTTTAAGGTTGTTTATTCACACACCGACTGTCTTGCTTTAATGTGAAGGCATGCCTACCTTTAATAATGGAGCAAAAAAATGCAAAGGAGACTTCACAATTCATGTAAAAATGGGTACATTTGTAATGTAAAATACAT